GTGTGTGACGCCGGGAGATGAGCGAAAACGATGACACTGTTTGGAGAAGTCGCTGCAATCGCCTTTTAGATTTTAGGATTTCCTTTTCATTTAGTTCAATGGTGTTTTAAAGATTTTTTTTGGTCAAGTGGTGCTGGGGAGGAAATTATGAAATCTCGTTTCTCTTCCAATCATCAGAGAAAACATAATTAATACATGTTTTGTCGGTAGTTGTTCATGTCCAATGGTAATTTTAACTATTTGTGACTTTAGAATCAAATTAAATGAAAAGTTCTACATTTTGGATTCAAATTTTATTTTTTTACGTTTCTTGATTGATTAACTACATAATGACAATATACATTTTCAAAAAAAAATAAAATTGGTATACACATAATCATGTTTGGATTTAAACTTCCATTGCTTTTTATTGTATTATGTTAGAAAAGTGTTTTTAGACTACCCATTGTATCATTTTCACAACTAATGATATTTGATTGTTTCTTGCTTAGAAACAACAAAATTTGCAAGCATCTAGCCATCCTATCTTGTTTCAATGCTAACTTGGGGATTGCACTCAACAACTTCAGCGAGGCTGTGGAGTCTAAGATTTGAAGAATTGTTTCGTATTTTTATTCACTGCAGCGCTCGGAGCGAAGACTTTATTATAAAGAAGCTGATTACAAAATCTACATGAGGAGATTAGAACTAGGGACTGCACTAGATGAATTTTATGATCGATGGGTATAGACCCATATACACTTGTTATTTTGATGACTATTAAAAAACCTATGCAATCTTATTATAATGAAATATCTGTACTGTTTGTTGGTGGAAATTATTTAAGAATCATTTAAGTTGGAAATGATATTTCAGATATTATATCTTAGCAAGCAACACAAAAGGAAAGTTGATTATAAGGAAAACGGTGTCGCATATTAGGCCTAATAAGTTGGGTCGCATATAATGTTGGGCTCTCGAACTGAAGAAACCCAATAAAGTTTCTCTCGCGTAACCTTTTCCTAATCTCTCTCTCGTCTCCTCAGCCGAGAAATTGAGCCATCGCCGATCAGTGAGCTCTTCGTTGATCTCTGCCTCCGTCGTTGAATCTTCGCTAAACGTTCACCGGAAGATCCGACCCGCGTTGAAACCTGAAGTCGAGAGGATTGTTGAGTCGAAGTCTCAAAAACCGAGTTAAGCCTAAGATGCTTGCAGAATCTTTTGGCATGTGAGAAGCAGAAACTGAAGTTGCAGAGTGTGATTACAGCTGAGAAAGAAGCGATTTTATGGCCCTCAGATCACACAGGAAGAAATGGAGTCAAGAGCTGAGTAGAAAACAAAAGAGAAAGCTCTGGCTCAAGTGGAGTAAGAACAACGCTCCAAAGAAGCACACAACAAGAGAAAGCTTCAGACGAAAAATCACATGTAGAAAACATTACGAAGTCGAAGATGCTTAAAAAACTCGATAAGCTTCAAGGTTCTTATGAGAAGGAAGCAAGCTATGACCGATAATGCATATTCTTCATGAAAGATCAAGTCTCTGTGGTGTTTCTTCCTTGTTCGCATCAAGTTGTGTCTTCTCGAGCAGAAACAATGGCGGAAGCAAGGTTTATGCTTTGTGCCATTCTCGTATAAGAAAGGTTTTGCCGAAGAACTAATCAACCAGTAGGATCCTAAAACCAATGATTGAATAATCCTGCCTAGAATGAAATATATCTTATTTAATTAATGTAATATATTTTTAATATTCTTTCTGAATCTATTTATTTTATATAATACCCCATAAATATTATTATTTATCAGATTTTTGAGATTGAATATAGTACATATGCTATCTAAATACAAATTTATATTAATTATTTTTTTCTGGGAAATAAAATTTGGAAGAAGAAAAAAATGGTAGCAGTTGTTTGAGAGTAAATTTTGGGATGTCACGTGGAGGTGTATGATTCGTCTCGAAAGTGAAGTTGTGTTTATGAGTTTTATCTTCTGGGGAAAGGCGACGAGTCGTTCTGGGGCAGAAGCCTGCTTGAGTCCTGGTAACAGGGAGATCGGCATATATTATACTGCAAACACTAGGCAAAAGGTCAATCGGGCCTCCAGGAAAACCGAAAGAGAATTTTCCTCCCAAAAGTTCTCCGACGCCCAAGTCAATAAACGTCTTACCAGGAACAAGTATTCAGGAGGGTGTTTCTACGGATTTGTAGTGAGAAGTCTCGTCCGGGGATCGAGACATCTATCTCTTTGCGAGTGTTTCGAGGAGTATTCTACACGGAAGGGAGAAAGTGCATCAAGTATAAAGGCAAGGTTCCAGATCGAGAGGGACTTATCCTGGTAGGCATTCACTCGGGAGAACAAAGGGTTCTCCCTTGGTCATGCTGCTCGCTGGAGTTAGTCGACTCGGTTTAGTCGGGTACCTCCTCCTTGAGAGGGGTTTTAGCTCCGTCCAGCCGATCCCCTTATGGTGTGGTAATCTCTCTCCTTTTATACTAGCATTCTCCTTGTCCCGTCTTCTCTGTTCGACGTGTAAGGGAAGCGGGTGGACTGACAATTCTTGCATGTCTGGGGAAGCTCGCTAACTCCCCAAAACAGTATGCGGAAGTGGTTCGGCCAAGCTAATATAGAGTGTGTCAATGTCTAGGGTAGTTCAGCGTCTACGTGTCGGGTCCTCTTTGGACCTGATAAAATCGGTCCCAACAGTTGCCCCCAACTTCTCGGTTGATTGAGAGATAAGTCAGGAAATCGAATTCTCCTTGGTTTCCTGTAAAACAAACATGAATTTTCCGGTTCCCTATACTGCGTGCCTTTAAAGGCTAAACTAACGCGACGACCATTCGACGTATCATAGAGGATATGATACTAGTTTAGATGAAGCTAAATTCCTAAAGACAATAAAAAATAATAAAAATAAGAACTCATCTATGATAGTTTAGCATCCACGTGTCGTGTCGGATCATCATTAAACCTGGTAAAATCTATCTCAACAGTAGTCATGCGCATAAAAATTAATAGAAGTGGCGAATATTTAAAATCGTTTAACGTTTCACATTATGCAAACCAATATTTGAAAAGTATTGTGATTTGAGAAAATAATCATATATTAGATGATAATTGCCTCGTGTGCGGAATAAGAAATTCCTTATTTAAATTATTTGTAATAAATAAATTTTTTCATAAATATAATATATTTTGGTTTACCATTCTTTGTATATAAATATGTTGTATTAACAACATACTCAATGATAAATGCTTAATAATTTAGTTATTAAATAGTTTAATAACTAATATTTAGTATTTTTAAATGTTAATGAATATTGTAGAAAAATATACATTATTATTATTTCGTATAGAACAAGTTATACCTTATTCTTTATATACATTATTTATTGTTAATAATGATCATATAGGTGACTTTTCCATGCGTAAAATGAAAAATCTATAATCAATTTTATTAAATTTAATTTTAAAATTATTTAAAATAAATGTGATTTAATTAGTTTTATATGTATGATGACAATAATGTTTGTTTTACTATTAAAATTACCAATGTTAATTAATTATTTGCTTATATAATTAATTTTAATACTAATCTAATTGTATATTTAAATTAACCCCGCAAAATTACTGTTATACAAATATTAACATTTAAAGAAATGTAAATTATTATAAATTTTATTTTACAATGCTAAATATACGTAAAAGAATATAAAAATAGATTATATATTTTTTAATTTTAGTATTATTGATAAAATTCTAAAATTATATATAACTGAATCAATATGTATAAACTCTTAGCTTTTGATCCAATAAAAATATTTTACCAAATTTAAATATTTATATCATTTGGTTAATTTATATGATTTTATTAAAAACCATATTAAACGAAAAATCCTTATAAAAATAGATTCCTACTAAATATATTTTCTTGCATTTTGATTTTTGTATGTTTTTCTTATAATGATATTTGAACTATTTACTAATTTACACATACAGTACATTCGATGTATGACTTTAAAACATATTTATATTTATTTATTATTTAATTTATTTTCGTTTTTAAAGTTTTGAATTATAACATATGTACAAAAAAATCTTTACATTTTTGTAATATGAATGTGATGATTTATGTTTAACAAAAATAAGAGAATAGTTATAGTGTTTAAATAAATAATCAATATGATTTATGTTGGAAGGAAATAGAAAGAGATAGAATATCTTCATACATTAAAAGTGCATTAAATGCTGAATTATGTATAAATATAATTGATATAAACTATTGTCTAACCAAATTAATGTGAGTGGCGGAACATGTATTTAATGTAGTAACAGAAGTCTACTTTTATATATTTGATGAGAATGGTTCTGATGATGACACATAAGCAAAATGACACCATTGTAAATAACTTATAAAATTAAGGTTATTCTCGAAAAAAATTCTCAATTAATATATAGAGGATAGTTATGACTCGAATTGTTAGAGTACATTATTTTTTTATAGACTGATGAAACCTGATGGCAAGACATAAGTAAAATATAGTTTTCAGTTGTAATAATTTCATAAACCGGAAATGATCTATGTTAAAAGTATTTAAGGAAAATAACTTTTTTAAAATTATGAAAAGAGAGTTAGCATAAAAATGGAGGCTTCACTATAATTTTAATGAAACATGAAAGAGACCAAAAGATAGAAAACCAAGTCTTAAATGACAAAACTCAAAAACAAACAACGACTGAAGCCTCTACGTTCGAAACTCTCAAAAATCAAGACTTAGCCACTTTGATCATCCTTCTCCTTCTTGATTCTTACGGTACATGGAGTCTTTGTGACAGAATTTTGATCAAATGTTTCGCTCAAATTCATTATTAGTGGTTTGCTGCGCTTAGTTGGTGTTAGAAAAGTTAGATTTTGATTGCCGCAATGTTCCACCAGTATTAGTTAACTTGAGAGAACCTTGTAATAATTAAAAGATTAATATTATGATCTTTACAAATCATATCAAATGGATGGTAATATATATCCTTTACGTAACCTCAGGTGTATCTGAAAGAGATGACACATCGCCACATAATGTGATCATTGTTTCCTATCAAACATAAAAAAGCAGTTATATATTAGCAAGGTTTCTTTTCATTACACAGCTATTATTAACTATCAACATATGAAAGTACCTGAGGGGAGTCTCTCACATTAAATTGAGTATTTAATTTCTGGTTAGTGATAATCTTCAAAACTTTGTAAGTATCATGCTTGTAAACAAAATTTTCCTGATCTATAGCAATTTTGAAAAGATATGTCTTGCCCACTAAGTTTATGAGAGCAAAGGGCAGCAATCTGAATCTTGAATCTAATAACATATAAAAAGTACAGTTTTATGATACAAAATGATACATTAAAAAAAACTCATACGTGCACCAAGTCACACTTACCTCATTTTCAATTGGACCAGTAAGTTCAAGGCACGACTGACGAAATAACTGAACAACATGATTATCAAAGAGCATCAACTTAGTGTGACATATGTTATCAAGTACATTTAGATGTAACTTACTAACTTGTATCTGATAGTATGAAGAACACAAAGTTTTAGACTCCTACATGATATAATAAAGTACCTCATGGAAACAATTAATAGCAATTCAAACCTTGACAAAATTTTGGGGTTAAAGACATTTGCCACAGTAAGTAAATCCCAAAACACTATCCGCAGTTTCCTGGTCAAAATCATCATTGAGCATGTGTAAAACCTTTTTAGCAGATACTTCGCAACACAAATAGTACCATCCCATATTAGCATAAATGCTTGCAATTGTGCACATCAAAATACAGTTCTCAACCTGTGAGGATCAGGAAGAAAAATCATTTTAGAATAGATATAATAGTAATAATAATAGTTTTAATTAAGAGTTTGAAATAAAAATTGAATACTAAACCTGCTTAGACTCTAACACTTCGACAATAGTTTTCCTTAGTGTGTGAACAAATAAATCACCATTCTCAGATACACCATTAACAAAATAAAGAGGTTTAGAATCCCCAATTGGCCAAAGTAAGATCATCACATGTCAACCTAAAATTTGAATATGCAGTTTGTATTAGATATGAGATTTATTTATATTGAATTTTATTTGGATTGACTTATATGATTGTATTTCATATAGTTTGATTTAATATATTGACTTACACGATTTTATTTAATATAGTTAAATTGATTTGATTATGATTAAAAGTTAATACATTCAACTTAATATTCACACAATTAAAAACGATTGTTGTAATTGCTTAGTTAGAAGTTAGTAGTATTTATCATAATTGATTAAATTTTTAATTGATTAAATCATAATTTCCTAATTATTAATTGATTAAATCATTATTTCTATATTCTAAAACGATTTTTGTAATTGCTTAATTAGTAATTAGTAGTATTTATCATATTTGTGTAGCAATAAATCGTTTTAAATAAATTAGTAATAAATTATAAATTAGTTAATGATGGACTGAATTAGTAATAAGTTCCTAACTCCTTAATAGTAATCGTTTTAATTAAATTAATAATCATTTTTATCTGAACATTATCTTGAGTAAATTGATGAATTATGTAAATGAATTTGAGTACGAATAATAAGAATTACATTAGTCTAGTTGGTTGTGTATACTTGTAGTGACTTTGATGTATTATTTTTTCTTTTTTTATTTCGTAAATAATGTGTATTTTATATTTTATTTTAGTGAAATTACACATTATCTTTGATAATTTGTTTTCCAATAGATCGATATAAACATATGTTTTGGTTATAATATCATATTTGGTTAAAATTAATTTATTGATTGTACATAATTTTAAAATTATTTTCTACAATAATATATTTGTTGAATACTTGAAAAAATGAATCATATCATATATAGTGGCAAATAATATAATTTCAGTGAAGTTATATATTATTGTTATTAAATTTACATTATCTACATATTTGATTGGCCGTGTTTATGTTTCAGATTAATTTAATTTAGTAATATATCATTTTAGATTAATCTGGTTCAGTAATATATTATTGGAATATTTTTAAGAAAATCATATCATATGTTTGATCATAAAATGCATAATTAGTTTAGTAACATAAGTCTTTTATTAATAAGTTTACTAATAAGCTCTATAATCCTGACACCTCAGCAAAGTGACATCACTGTAAATATTGTTTCTCAATTAATATATAAAAGATATAGAAAATATGATTTTCAGTCCTGCTATCAAAGATGAATAATACAACAAGAGATGACAGTTCTAAACATGTCAATAAGTATTTGTCAGAGCACAGCAAATAAAATATGGTTCATATATTCAATCTAACATATATTTTATTGATTAGTATTTCATAATAAACCATACTATTAGAAGATACATAAGAAAAAATGTACTTTGTATTTAACAAATAATAATGATATAAAGATTTTATAAATATATGCTATAAAAGCATTTTCATCAACAATATGTTAAGAGGGTATTTAGATTTTAAAAAAATAATAAAATAAAGAAAACTAAGAGAGAGAAATGAGAACCCTCTCTCAAATGAGAGATGCTTGGATATTCTAAGATACTTTCCCCCACATGTCTTTTTAAAATTGACTAGATGATGACCCGCGTGTATATGTTTTATTATTTATTTTTGAATGCTTCAACATCACTTCCTCAAGCTCTGTTAGTTGTAGTAAGAACCATCACCTTCACGTTCTCTAAACACAATCATCTATTTTTTTTATATTGCACTTATTATACAAAGAGAAAACAGAACAGTAAGAACAAGATATTTCATTTCAACACGCGGTCTGTAGTAAACCCATCCCATAAAGCCATGAACTCGAACTTCATATTCGCCATTACTTTGTTATCTGTTGAACGGCGCTGGCCAAGAAAATTGTCCACCTCGTCAATAAAGATAATCCCATATTGGAGAAACTAAATAACTAATATATTAGTAACTCTACCAAATGCAGTTGTGTAACTTCATACCTACCAAGTTCGTGGCCATCACCAAACCACTTGCTCATCAGACTCGAAACCTTGACACTAATGAAAACCACTTGCTTTATCGTCTTCTCAGTTCTAGGAGGACCATAAAGCATAACACTCTTTTCAGGGCCAATCAAGTTTCCGTAAGAAAATAAGAAAATAGCTGGGTCTCTTCAGAAGTATAATCACAAGCGCGTACAAAACCTGTTTGGTTGCATCCAAGCCTCTAATAGAATTTGTGTATTGGAATTGATGTGGGTATTAAAGCGGCAAGATTGTGTTCTTACATAGTGGTTTGTATGAATCTGAGAAAAAAACAATATACAAATCAAAGTTCAAATAGAATTAGGGATAAAGAAAAAGGAGTTGTTGAATTACAAATGCAAAGAAACTTGCGTATAAGTGGAGAAAATTCAGATGAAATGATTGACTTTGCAAAAATAGTTATTTATAATAGGATGTAATTCACATATAAGATGACTTTTCGAAATGAGAGTACATATTTATTGAAATTGGACACAGGAATATATATATAGTAAGTAAGTTGACTAAGTAACTAAGTATATAAACTGGAAAGATATATTACCATTTGATTCATTTTTTTTTGTCAACAGCCTCATACTCCTAAAATGGTGTTAATCATTCTGGTGGAGTTGAGTTTTCAAAATATAGCTGATAAAGGTTATCTCGAGCACTCTGTGCAAGTTTAACCGCCTTTGTGTTCTGCGCTCGGGTATCTTTGCAATTGAGAAGAGTTGGAACTCTCTTTTCGTGACTGCATATTCTTCTAGATGTAGTGCGAAGGCTGGCCATTATGCCGGATTTGACACCATTTCCAGCAATTCTGAGCTATATGATATGCTCAAATTAACTCTTAGAGCTACTCTCTCAAATTAAGAGATCACGGTAGTACTTAGGGATCGAATCCACAAGGACTTGAGACTATCACTCAACAGATTTTAGATTCAAATAATGCTAAGCAGTAGATGATAAAATAAAACTAAATATTTGCAAAGTTAATGAGATCAGGATGGTTGTTGGTTCTTAAAATCAATAGAGACAAGCGCTAGGCAATGGGAAATTCGCAGGTTGACATAAATCGCAGACCACAAACTGAAAGGAATATTTATTAAAACCGTTCTATAACTCGAAACACTAGTGTAAAACCAATCGACTTCCGTCGCAGAGATTAACTATGATCAGATTTCAGAATTCCAAATTCTTTTGCAAACTCTAACAACCTAAACATGCATTATAGATCAGGTTCGATAAGTTCACAAAACCACTAATCCAAATTCCTTTGCAACTAGTTATTTTGCTCATCTAAGATAGTTCTGGTGATTAATAATGTTTCCACATCTATTAAACAACCTAAGATCTGATTTCTAGGTGATCAATCTTAAAACCAGTATTAAAGCAATCAAGATGAAGAACCAAATGATTTATCCTTCCAGTTTTGTAGTTCTAACAATTCATTATCAACCTTTGAATAACCCAAAACCTAACTAGCAGATTACTCAGACATAGTAGGTGAAACACAAATCATGACTGAATAATATTGCATTAAGAAAATAGAGTAAAAGATTAAAGGGGTTCAAAATTCTTCTCTACAGAGTATGGATTTGTCTCCCCAAAAGCTCTCAATCTAATCTCTCTCTTTGTCTCAATAATCCTCAGAATATCTGCCTAACAATGGCTTAGAAAACCTAAATACCAGTCTAAACACGAACTGGGGCAAAAGTGCAAATAGTGAGAAATTTCTGGGCCAAGTTGCAATTTCTTCTAATGAGATTTAACGCTTCTTCGCAACCACGATCGGTGTCGATCGACACCAAGAGGTGGGTGACGATCGACACCTAGCTCTTTAATGTCCTCCGACTTGGTCTTTTCAGCAACAACTTCAGTATAGCTCCAAAAGGTTCTAGAATCCACAATTATGCTCCATTCGTACCTAAACCTGCAAAGACTCTATAAGACTCGAAAAATACCAAAAAGACTCTATAAACAGGACTTATATCATGGTCAAAAACCAGCAAAAACCATGATATATCAACTCCCCCAGACTTAGCTTTTGCTTGCCCTCAAGCAAACAGAAAACTAAATACAGAGTCGAGGTTTGAAAATAAGAAACAGTCAGTCAGTCATCAGGAACACCACACTAGTTAGAGCTTTCAAATCCACATACCACAGAGTCAACACAAGATCAAATTTCAGTCTAATCATCACAAGCTTAGCAAATCTCTCAAGTCCAGTCCAAACCCCTTCAAGAAATCCGAAATTTCTACTGCTAACTCCTTATTTTTTATCTAAGTGTGATATCTCATCAGGGCTCTATCATCTCAATCACTTTACAGATTTTTTTCCCTTCCTAAACATCTGAACAAAGCAATCTCAACACAGCTCTCCTATTTTCTCTTCCCTTGATCTTTTCCTTTAGATATTTTCGATTTTTCACTTCTTTTTCTCAACTTTTACAGTCTAAGATATGGTGCTACTCAATACTTGTGTTCCTTGTGAGGAGACATGTTCTTGAGTGTGTTCACTACTGTTGTTCCTTGTGAGGAGACAGGGTCATGAATGCACTATTCTTTGGACTTAAACTTTTAAAAACT